AATTTGAAAGGTTAATGCGTTTAGATTATAACTACGTGTAAGTTTGGGGAAAAAATGTTTCTTAAATATTTCGTAAATATATACACGGTGGTTGATTTTTATAAAAATAAATATTAGAAATAAATAAAGTAAATACTAAAATAACGATAAATTAAATTAAAAACCTTAACATTTTTTTTATAAGATAAGGTTGCAAACAAGCAAGCGGCCACTCGAAGCCCATAGACATCCGCAATTGCAGATGCGTTGCCTACCCTTATCCGACGGAGGAGAAGACGCACATAAAGAGAATATTTCCCTTCCTATGCATCTCCTCCACTGTCAAATCCACTTCCCCTTCCATCCACTCCTTATTAGAAAAGGGTGGTCTAATTTAAGTCCCTTACTCCTTGTAAGGGAAATAAATTAGGCCTCTGGCACCACACTTATCAGACGAAACACGGAATTACTTCCACTTCACGCCTATCTTCTGTGTGGTCGTGGTATTACACCGGGCGTGCCGGCCTATTCGTGCTAGGAGTACCTTAACATGTAATTAGTAAAGTGAAGAGATATAATCAGATAAATCAGAGTACAGTTTTTTGGTAAAATTATAACTAGTAAGGTAAAACAATTTGAGACGGTATAAAATGGAAATAAAACATTAAAGATGTTATAATTGTTCTAAAGGTGTGACATTTTTATAGCTCTGAAAACATTTTTTGTAACATCACAAACAATTATTTTAAAGCTATATTATAAAAAAAAATCAGTATTTGGAGGAGGCTTTTACCCTATACGCGATCCGTATTTATAACACAATCGAACTTATATTATAAATGCAAATGTTTAGATGGATGGATGGATGGATGGATGTTAGAGTTTGTAGCCTAAACCGCTGAACGGATTTCGGTGAAATTTGGTTCAGATGTAGAGGATAGTCTGGAAGAACATATAGGATACTCACTTTTGTTTTTTTTATTCCATGTGGACGGAGTCGCGAGCGAAAGCTAGTGTATGCATATTTTGTACCGTTATAAGATATTTTCTCTATATAATTAATAGAGCTAATAAATAAATATAATAAATATTGTATATATTGCTGTATAATAAAGTTGTTGTTGCTATTTATGTGCAGTAAACTAATAAATAGTCAACTAAAGTGAACTCGAGAGGACGTAAGTGTTTCAAACTTTGTCAATTAAGAGCCGTTCGCGATGTGTTTGATACAGCTGTAATGTAAGTCGACAGTCGACTCATTTGAACTCAACTCAAATATCAAACATTCATAGTTTCCTCAATTAAACAGCGTCCGAACTTAACAGGCTAGGAAATAATATTACTTGAACTAATTAACGTGACACTATTGACTAGTATTTAAAACTGATACAATATTTTCGTTGATCATTTCCGACATTGCCAAGAAAACAACTGATGTTAAAACTACTGTAAATTGCTATATTATAGTTAAAAATATTTTATCGGGAATAGATTTACATATCTACCAAACATTTCAACGATAGAAATGTCGAAACGTTAGTCCCAGCTTAGTTCAACAAATATGCATATATTTCGAGTAGTCCGGCAAGCGGTAAATTCCTATACATTTGTACATATTGAGTCTTTACCTTACAATATAAACCGAAAAGCCGACCGCAAATGCCAATACAAGTACTACGGACGGTTTGTGCGGTCGGCCATTTGCATTCCACTCTAACTTGAATTTCCAGTACAATTTATAACAAGGCAAGGCAATAGACATTTAAAAAGAATATAGTAACAATATCTCTCTAGATATTTGTGATCGTATGTATCGCTTGCGACTCCGTTCGCGTGGGATTTAAAAAATAAACAAAAATCAATAGCCTATGTGTTCTTCCAGACTATCCTCTACATCCATGCCAAAATTCATCGAGATCCATTGAGCAGTTTTCGCTACAAACTCTAACAGACATCCATCCCTATTATCGTATTTATAATATTAGTAAGAAGTAAGTTGTAAACCGCCAATCCATCAAGCTTTGTAATAACCGATGTAATACAAAATGAAAGTTAGTTAAACATTTAAATGTTTTAATAAGCCGTTTAACGAGTTCTTTAAAATGATATTTCAAACATTTTAAATTTTGATACATTTCAACCGCTCGAGTGCTCGGTAAATATTATATGGTCGCGACTTTCGTTCAAATTTAAAGCACTTCAATAAAATTTTGGCGATGGTAATGCAGCAGCTCTGACCTACAGGCCGCACCGATCGACCTGACCCACAAATTGCACCTTGTGTCGGACTCCACATACAAAAGACACAAATCGATTCCGTCGATTCTCTAGAGGTCACTTTTATACACTTACTAGCTATCGCCCGCGATTCCATCCGCGTGGAATTTAAAAAAAAAGTGAGTAGCCCCTGTGTTCTCCAGTCTATCCTCTACATTTATACCAAATTTTGGATGTTTGTTAGAGTTTGTAGCCACAAGCTCTAACAAATATTCATCCATCCATCCATCTATCCAACCATCTAAACTTTCGCATTTATAACATTGGTATGAATGACTTGCACAATTTCCATACACAAATCATATCATACTTCATACTTCATACTAATATTATAAATGTGAAAGTTTAGATGGATGGATGGATGGTTAGATGGATGTTTGTTAGAGTTTGTAGTCTAAGCGGCTGAATGGATTTCAATGAAATTTGGTATAGATGTAGAGGATAGTGTGGAAGAACACATGGGATACTCACTTTTGTTTTTTTTCAATTCCACGGGGACGGGGTCGCGGGCAAAAGCGATATACTAGCGATATACAAAAGTAATATACTAACTGCATGCGTATTATCGAACGGAATGTGCAATCTTAATTAACGTAGAAAAGCAATCAATTCTTCGACTATCAAAGATTACGACATCGTAATTCATATGAAAGTATATACTGTACATTTAATCTGAGTTTCCAAATCTAGGTAATGAAATGCTATAAAACTGTACGTCCCCAAAAAGGGGCTCGGAGCCTAATGTTAGTTAGAGATGACTAGGCACGTGTAAATAACAGTGGTAGAGCCCGCTTTAACATCTTCGCACGAATGAGTCGACTCGTTTGTTGTAATACCACGACCACACAGAAAACAGACGTGAAGTGGCAGCAATACCGTGTGTCGTCTGATGAGTATGGTGCCGGAGGCCTAATTTTAGTCCCTTTCCCTTTCTACCCTTTTCTTAAGAGGAATGGATGGTGGAGGAGAAGCATAGGGAAATGTCCTCTTTATGTGCGTCTCCTCCTTCCTTAATTAAGGGTAGGCAACGCATCTGCAATTGCGGATGTTTATGGGCAGCAGTCGCTTTTCATTACGGTGGATTAAGGTGGCCGCTTGCTTGTTTGCCACCTAATGTCATAAAAAAAACCTCTACGTCTAAATATTAGTCATACGATAACTGGTTTCATTTGATAATAACCAACGTGTTTGAAATAAACAGTATCCGTGCGTTATTTACATTAGACGGCGTAGTCTTGGTCGTTGAAGCATGACCGACAATTACGATAACATGTGCAATTGTTTACATAATATTTGCTCAATCACTTTAAAATTAACTACATATGTCTTGTTTGGTAATCGAAATAATTTTCTATGATACTTTGCAACAAGTCTTAAAATAAGGTTTACGGCAGTATAAGAGCGCCCGCACACCATTGACTAAACTATCGCACAACTGTTTAGTCGCGGTTTGATTTCTATGAGCTTATATGGAGATGCGCACACTACTCGATTTTTAGTGCTGCGAAACAATCGCACGACAATTCTGCTATAGTTTAGTCAAAGGTGTGCGACTATACAATGACGCTACAAGAAATAATAGCGTCCCTACATTTTTAATTACTAGTTATTCCCGTTCGGCTTCATCCGCATGAAAAAAAATTATAAAAACTATATTTTAATGTTTACATTTGTCAAATTATCAATAGCAAATGTCAAACTGACATGACATAACAAACCTTGACAATCTTGTTTCCTTGATGTTGGCAGCAACTTATGGTCTCTTTCCCATATTAGGGATTTTATACAAAATATTTACCCCCTAAGTTTCATGGCGTGAAAATATATAGCCTAAAGCGTGACATAAGTGTAGGGGATTTCATTAAAAAAAAGAATTATTCAAAAATGTACTGTAATTGCTGACATCTTAGGCAACAAAGAAGTGTGTATTTACGCTTTATTATAATAGTATAGATAGTATAGATTTAAATGTTAACAGTTTTTAGTTTAGATTTTAAAGACAAAATAACTCTTTGTTTAGGACAAGTAAACATACAGTGTAGTTTGTAGCGCCCTGGGCGGGTATACGGCGCCATTTTTTACCACGACAAGAGGGACAAATTTTAAAAGTGTTATGAGACAGTAATTCGTAGAAATGTGGCGCAACTCATCAACGGCCCTGGGCGGTCGCTCTACCGCCCCCTACCCTAAATCCGGCTCTATATATAAACAAATAACTTTCAAAGAATTGTTCTTTAAGTGTACTCTGTTAGGTAAAATAATTTTCGTAGAATATCTGTACAAATGTATAGGTAGAATTATTTCGTCTGGACCGCCACAAAGCAAGGGTCGTTCGCTCCATGAAAGAGATAATAATCACAAAGACCTTACCGTCTTTGTGATCTAGCAAACAATTATTAAAACCTTAGTGAATAGAAACGAAACAATTCAAAGATTATGTACATTCTGAATTCTAAAATTAGGTATGAAATATATAACCTATATATGGATATTCTTAACGTAAATCTTCAAGTTCTAATTAAAAAAGGTATGTATTCGTGAAATAACAAAATAATTAAAATAAAATTTTTCTTTATTTTGGAAAATTCCGGCCACTATCGTTTGTAATCTTATACAAAAAATTATACAATAAATTTGCTAGTTCTAAATGACAGTAGCTCGATTTAATTAATACAACAATCATATATATTTTTATATTTATCAAAGAGATTAAAATTACTGTTATTTCTTATGTCAGAACTTACCTTTGTTACACACACCTCCCTCTAACCAAGTCCTTGGCACATACCTAGCTAATGAAAAAAATACGAATTTATAATTTTACTTTTTCTATTATTTTATAAATATTGGAAAATAACTAAGTACGATAATAGCAAATCCGCACACGACCGATTCGCTACACCGCGCGCGGGGCACTGACCAAGGCTTGCTAACTCGCACCCCGCTCCTCCCTCGCAAAGATTAATACAGCCTGAAAAACTAGACGTACAAATAGGTAGAAAAGTGTACTGCTACAAATACTTGTAATGCATTGGAAGTTTGATAGTTGTGTTTGAAAATTACGGTACTTAAATTCTTTTTATTACTTATAGTTAAATATGAAAACCCCTAACATCAGTCGATAAAAAGGGGAAGGTGAAAAGTAAATAGGAATTTTATAAAAGATAGCAAGAGATTAGCTTTCTTTACCTATTCATTACGATCAGTCTACTTACAAATTACTATTCGAGCAGATTTATTTACGCCATAATCATAATTTCCATCCTTACACGTAAAAACAAGTGACACTTAGTGCAGCTGAAAATCGTAGCAGCATAAAGATAGGTAAATAACATCTCGAACGCTTGTTGGCATTATTTAATCTTTGCGCGAGACGGAGGGCGGGCGGGTATTCGATATGTAGCAGGGCTCCGGAAGCCTCCCGTTCGCCGTTTACGGACCTTTGTTTTGCGAAACGTTGATAATCTGTGATCACTTCAACGCTCGCACAACGCTACGACCGCCCTTCTATACTCCTACTCCCTTCAACCTCTACTACAAAATATAATTTCAAATTTAATGAAATAAATTAAGGACCCAAGGAGTAACTATTAATTTAACCCAAAGTAAGTTATAAAAATTGATGTAATATTTCGGTACTTTTCATAACATCTATCAGCCTTCAAAATCCCTTTCCTTTTTTAATTATCAGAAAATTATGCGATGTTAAAATTAGCTACTTTTGCAATGCTTTAAACATGTGTCAAAAATTTGTTTTTTTTTTTTAGTGGTTTTACTATTCAATCTTATCCATTAGAAGGTTTGGCACTACATAAATTAATGCTATAGTTCCCAAGGTAGTGAGGACGATTTGTAGAAAAATCTATCACTGAAGTGAGTCGTAACAAGGAAGCGTTACTACGGGGAATTCATTTCGTAAATGGACAGAGTTTTCTAGGAACCCCTTTAATGTATTTTCCTCAAAGTGTTCCCTGTCCTTGTCCCCATTCCCATTCATCATTCGTTCACTCGTTCAGCATTACATTCACCTTAAAAAGGGACGATATGTCCAAGATATAAAAATCTAAAAATAACTGAATTGTTCACTTGTTTTATCCTTCCTTTTTTACAATTTAACATTTACAGAATTACATTTGATTTTCTATGAATTTACATTTTTTTTATTTTGCTTCTGTCTGTCTAAATACGAAACTCATTACTAAAATTATTTTTTACCGTTAAACCATTTGATCTATGAGGAATTTTATTAGAAGAATACAGTCATTTTCACTGTAAATAATTTACCGCACAGAATTTTACATTGGGCGTTATTTCGCTAGAATAAGATGTGGACAGATAGAAACCAAAGCGTCGTCGGGAAGCAAAAGTTCCGGCAGTAACTTTCACTTTAATAATGTCGAGGTTTGCGCCAGGAAATGAAACCGTCCCTCCTTAGCAATTGATTGAAATCTTACATTTACTTTTACAATTTATCGCCATCTTACTAATATTATATCTTGTCTTACTAATATTATAAATGTGAAGTTTAGATGGATGGATGTTTGTTAGAGTTTGCAGCCTAAACCGCTCAACGGATCTCGTCGAAATTAGGCATAGATGTAGATGATAGTCTGGAAAAACACATTAGACTATTTACTTTTGTTTTTTTATAACTCCACGCGGACGGAGTCGCAAGCGAAAGCTAGTGTTACTATTTATGTGTAAAATTTATTTAAGGAATTAGAGTAAAGATAAATAGTTAATAAGGAATATAAAACAGAAGTTCTTATTTAGTTAGTTGAAAGTATTTTACGTCCGACTCCTTTGAGTGTAATTTCAATAAAAACTTCCATCTCAATTGTAAGCATGCAATAATTGAATGTAAGTTAAATTGAACGCAAACAGAGCGTTGGAACTTCGCTTCCGTTAAAAGTCTTATTTCCAGACTTAAACAATCAAAGTATAATTTCAAATTTAAACGTAACCGAAGGGATTTTTTATGTTATACATTTCAAACGTTTTGTTAAAGTAGAAACTTTGTAGCGGATCGCATCCCCAAAAGGGTCTTTGCCAAAACTCCCTTAACTTAGTAGCCTTGTATCAAACATAACATATTGAAATGACGCTAAGTTAATGTGTAAATAAAGAAAATATTACACAAACTGCTTATGAAATAAATAATCTTTTATAGCCATCATTTTCTTTAAAGTTTATTTCTTATTAAAATAAACATGAGGAGAGACGTATGTATGTTGAAGAGAATTGAAACCTGCAGCACACATATACTCGTATGTAAGTATGTACATATATTTGGCACGCTGGAGTCACAGAATCCCAATTGCCATTGGACGGGTTTCCGAATTTCCGTTTCCGTAAAAATCCGGACCCTGAAATCCGAGGAAAAATCCGTGCGTATAGACACAATGATTCTAAATGTTTGGCTGTTTTCAGAGAATGTTACGCAATTTCAATTTTCGCTTTCTGCTTTTAATTATTTTACCTATTGTTCTCTAGTGAGACCTAGTGGTTTATTTTTTTTTTACATATTATTAGGCGGCAAACGTGCAAGTGGCCACCTAAAACCGCCTAAATGGCAAAGCGACCGCTGCCCATAGACATCCGCAATGGGGATGTTTCCTAATTTTTGGAATTGCTTTTATTATGTAGATAAACCGTATCTGAATATGAAAAAAAATATAATAAAATCATATACGCAACATTTCATTACAAAAACACTTAACTAAAAACAACTTCTCCAAAGACCGCGAAAACGCCTCATGACGTCACTTTCTTGCTTACAAACCTCGCGTCGCGGTCTGTCAAATTTGAATATTAGCTACTCAAATAACTTTTACTATTTTTTCGTCATATTGATCGAAAATTTGCTCGTAAAATAGGTCGTAAATATAAAAACACTTAATAATGGAGTCCTCATAATATAACACACGAAAACTCAATTCTTATATTCATTTAAAAAAATATATAACTACAAAATGCACTGACATTTACTGAAGTTGGTCACACTGCCATGTTATATGCGAGAAAGTGACGTCATTGAGATCGAGTAATGGAGGGTAAAAAATATTGCAACGTTTTTAATTTATATTTAATTTGAGACAAACATTCAAGGTCTCTAAATGTTATTATGGGTTATAAAATGCTGTCTCTAAAATATTAAACATAACTTTATTTGGATTTGTAACATTAGGAAACATCCCCATTGCAAAGAGGATATTTCCCCTTCCTGTGCGTCTCCTCCACCGTCAAATCCACTTTTTCTTCCCATCCCTTCCTCTTGAGGAAAGGGTAGCAAGGGAAAGGGATTAAAATTTGGGCTCCGACACCACACTCATCAGACGAAACGCGGAATTGTTGCCACTTCACGCCTGTTTTCTGTGTGGTCGTGGTACACCGGGCGAGCCGACCCATTAATGCGAAGATGTTAAAGCGGGCTCTACCACTGTTGAACTCTCAATACTCAATTTATACATTAACTAAAAACGACATGCAATCTTCATTTCCATTTTAGATGATTACGAGTACATGTCTATAGCTACATAGGTCTGTGGTATCTTTGTGCATCTAATGCAGCTGTCTTCGAATGAAAACCTAACATCGGCATCGCTTTATCTCTTGCATTCGATTCCCCGTCCCGTCGCATCAAAGAAACCATACCCACTGAAAGACTTTTTAAGGCAATCGCATCGTACTTTTACATACTATTGAAACTCACTCGAACACAAACTCGAATGAAACGCACGGATATTATTAAAACTAGTGAGACTAGAAGTTGCTGTGTTATATAAGAACATTGTCTTAGATAACAAGTAGAGTTGATCGAGAGTATCAAAGTTATCGAGAACATTTCTCATCTACGATTTCCCACTTCAAAAAGCTGTTTAGTCATAAGATACTCGTATATATCAAAAAGCTATATATCATCTGATTGAAGAACCTGTTCATCATCATCTGTTCAAGTATAAATAGTTCTTTAAATCTTGAACACTTCTTTCTTCTTTTAATTCTTCTTCTTAGTTCTTTAAACATTGAATTGAAAACCTTTTTGTTTTTTTTTTAAGTCGATTTAAACGAAGTTTTCGTATCTGGCAAATGGTAGGGGCCAGACGGAACGTTCAGTTCATCCAATTTCACCGGCTGCGGAGAGCCCAGCGTTAGAATAGCAGCAATGTGCGGTGCAGTAAACTTGTTAGACAGCGCGCGGTTATAATGAACCACAATTTGAATAGCTAACATAATTTTGAGGTTGTTTTGTTGCAATTCAAGTTATAAGATCTAATATAAAACCAACCAAGTATTGTGTTAATTAATTTTCACTCGAATTGAAAAGTCACTACAAAGCGTAACGTTTCGAATTGGTTTACAATATTGATAATTCAAACTTATTACTTCATAAGTAAAATCTTTTTTATATAGAGGAAAACCGTGTTTGTTTCATTATAATGAAATAACTCAAAAACTACAGGGCCGATTTCAAAAATTCTTTGACCATTAATAAGCCTATGTTTTAAATTATTACTATTAATTATGCGGACGGAGTCGCGAGTGAAAGCTGTTAGTTCATAAACGCTATTGTAAAGGGTACTGAATAATTTTATCATCTAAAATAGAACGGCTAACGGCTCGTAGATATCACAGAACGTGTCTACGAGAGTCTACGAGCCGTCAATCATCCGTAAAGGTCTTCACCTTTGTTATCAAACATTATTTTGTTTTATTTGAATAAACAAAATACAATACGTAATTAATAAAGTTTTCGTGCATTTATAACTATTTCAGTGCTATATCGTGTACATTTAGCGTCACATGCTGCTTCAATGCATCCAATTTCCCAGGCGCGGTGAAAGGCGGGATTTAGAGGTAGAATATGCGACGTACAAAGTTGTGAGATAAGCCCGGCCGCGC